TCTGTATGTGGGATCCGAACCCTCGGCGGGAGCGCCGCCACACTTCTCAAGCGGCGCACTAGCGCAGTGCGCCACCGGGCCAGCCCGATAACTCTGCTCTTGACTCCAGGCCGGAATCAAGGAAGGCCACTGTTTCCCAGGGGGCCTTGTGCCAGGCTCCAGGTGGGGTTCTGCATCCAGGGCAGTAAGACCCTTGTCCTTACACACTGGGGCAAAGATGGGCTCAGAGCAGTTCTTAAGGGCCTCGCAGAGCCAGGATCAGCACCTGAGCCTGCCACCCCCAGCTCAAACTCCAGCTGTTCTGGAGAAACCCACCCCACATTTGCAGCTGGTTGAGCCCAAAGCTCTGGGTTTGCTTTGCTTGTTTCTGTTGTTTTTGCACCTCATTTTTCTTCTGGCTTCCCTCTCCTTGCCTAGGCTCAGATGCCCTGCACCTGCCTGCTGGCTCCCATGTGGGACCCTGGCTCTTGCCAGCCCCTCTTCCAGGAAGTCTTTGTAACACCTCTCTCCCTTCCCTGAGTGCTTGGTCACCCAGTAGGCTTGCCCAATTGCTAATGAGCCTCAGTCCTATTAGAAAAAGGAGACACTCATTCACTTCTCTGGTCCCAGAGGCACCCCTGCCCCTCCACCCAGAACATCTCCACAGCCCTGTGCCAGGCAGACATCCCAGTGCCCTTTCTGTGGGGTAACATGCTGGCTACAGTCAGGGCTCGTGGGGACTGCAGACAGTCCTGTGGACAGACAGTGGGCATGTCAAGGGTGAGGTGATCCAAGGGTCATGACTCACCTTGAGCACGTGGTACCAGGCAGAGGCGCCCCCAGAGTCGATGTGGAAATCAGTGTAGCTGTCCTTCACACAGATCAGGCAGTACTTGGTCACTTTAGGCTTGGCCAGCAATGCGTCATCAGGCCAGTAGTTTTCTACCCAGGACAGCTTCTTCACAATGTCAGGTGGCTCCACAAAGCTGGACATTCTTCAGACAGAAGAGGAAGAGCAGTGAGTGATGATGGGGCCTAGTACCCGACTCTGTATGCCCCCTGGGCAGCAAAGGTGCTCTGTAAGGCACATCCCACACTGTTTCACCACCTGTGGGTGACGTAGCATTGCTCCCATTTTACAGACTTGCAAATTGAGGACTGCAGAGAAGAGAACAAGTCCAGCTGTTGGGTATGGCTGTGGCAGGCCTCTAACATTGGCCCCCACACCCAGAAGATGAGCAAGGAGAAGGCCCAAGAACTGGCCACCCCAGAGAGAGTATGCCTTCCCTAGGGGACTGGAAAGTCAGTCTTTCCAAGTTGGTCCACATTCATATGGCTGTGGCATGACAGGGCCCTGACAGTTAATATCATTTCTCATACGTATGCCAGGCACCTCCTGGTGCCACCCAAATAACAGCCAATGCTATCCAGAGCAGACAGCAGGGTGCCTATGACTCCCTGCCACGTTGGGTCACTGTCAAATCCAGCTAACTCACATCCACGGAAGATGGGGAAAGGCAAAGGCAGCCTTTGATTCAACTAAATGTCACCTTCCTGGATTAAAATGCACAATACTGCATCAACAATTACAAGCTCAGCACCACCACATGCAGTGACAGTTTAGCCACCACCGAGAACCAGGTCTTGAAGTTCTTGCTGCCATGGGCAAGATGGGCTCCATCACAACTCTGTTGCCCTGTCTGAAACTTCTGCGTAGTCAGTCCATCACATACCTATCACCCCATCTCCAACTGCTGTGGAGCTCGTTATGTCTCTGTCACCCCATCTGAAACTGCTGTGGAGTCTGTCATGTGTCCATCACCCTGTTTGAAGGCCACACCCACCTAGATAGGTCCTGCCACCTTGAACTCAACAGCCTCGATCATAGACCCTCACCTTTAAATCTCTGGCATGCTCCAAACTGGTATTCCTCCCCATCCCCTAGGAGTCCTTATAACCCCAGTCTATGCCTATGGTCAACCCCTGGACCCTCCAACAGGCTGGGCACCACTGCCTGCAGTAAAGGGTCTCCTGCCCCAACAGCCTGGAGCCCTTGCAACCCAGCTCCAGTTGGGTCCTTCACACAACACACGCCACTGGGACTGGGCTGCTCCCGCCTTCTGACATAGCCCCAAATTTCCTTATTCCCTTTGCTTGGCCTGCTCCTCAGGTGCAAAGCCAGTCCTCTGCACCGGGGAGATCCCAAAGCCCCCCGTGGGTGTCCAAGACCACCGTGAATGAGAGTCTAGATGTGACATGTCCGAATGATAGGCAGGAGGCACATCACCCTCAATCTGCTGCGCAGCAGATGCTTCTGTGGGCCCCTGAGGTCCACCGCAGATGGCCTGTGGGGTCAGGCCTGGTCTTTGCAGCCTGGCCAACATCTTTGAGGATGGGTTTACTGAAGGAGTGGAGACCACAGTCTCTTCCTGTGGGATGGTCCAGAACGGGCTCTCAGAGCTGGCTCGAGGGCCCGGGCCCAAGCCCAAACCAATATGAATGGCCAGGTATGTAAGTGCCTCGGACTGGGCCAGGGGACACAGGAGGTAAAGGAGTGTCCCTGAGAAGCCCAAGAGGAAATCCTAGGCCAAAGCACCATCTCCCCCTAGTTCTGTCACCCAGGCATCTCTGTGAGGACCCCTCCAGGAAAGACAACAAATTAAGCTGATGAAGACATGACTCAGTATGTTCTTTGTACCAAAGCAACACACACCTCAGAACTGAGCCTTGGAGAACATCCTTCTTATGAACACAGAGGAGCCTGCTTTCTCTGATACCATAATCCACACCATTTCCCTTTTTGCCTTTGCTGTCAGGAAGCTCAAACAAAACCCAACAGCCAGTTACATTACCTTTGTAGCCCCTGGCATAGTTCTGTCTTCTCTTTCTTGGTGTGGTTATTGATAGGCCTTTTATTTTTTCCTACCTGCCCTTTTGCACATGTGCTTTTTGGAAGTAGGCAAGGTGGAAATGATGTGAAAATGAAATCATTCTTAGCCACTCACACCTTATGGTGAATGAGCATTTCAGATCTTTCCCAAGGGGCCAGCTGGAGGGCAGTGGGGATTTGATAGAGAGGGGTAAGAGAGGTGAGCCAGGGCAGGTGCTGACCACAGCCAAGCATGCAGGAGACAGCAGTATTCTGAGAACAAAGGGCGGAGCTGACAGAACCATGATCAGAAGTGAAGCTCTGAACCATGATCAGCCTCCAACAGAGGACAACAGCCTCCCACTGACAGTGATGGGGTTGCTGACTACAAAAATTGCTTGGAACTCAGTGGACTAGGTCAGCTGAGGCGCATCTGTGTGGCAGGGAGAGCGGGTCACAGAGCAGCTGCTATGGCCTGACCCACGTGAACACGGGGTCTGCGTTAGTGTGTGAGGGTGTCGGTGAGTGTGGCCGTGAGTGAGTGTGTGTCACGAGTGCACGCATTCTCAAAGAGACTACTCCCCACTGGCTCTCTCTGGGTAGTGGGATGGGACACAGGCCAGGGAGGATTTATTTGCCATTTTGCTCATCTGTCTGTTGGAATTGTTCACAATGCATAACTTTCATACTCTAACATACAAACAGGAGGTAGTGGGATGGGACACAGGCCAGGGAGGATTTATTTGCCATTTTCCTCATCTGTCTGTTGGAATTGTTCACAATGCATAACTTTCATACTCTAACATACAAACAGGAAAATTAAGCGTATGCCGTGCTCAGTTTTTCACACTCCCGAGACCTCCAACCTGTGTTCTCGGTGGCTCTCGAGGATGGCCGCCACCTGAGAGCAGGGACGGGTCCTGGGGCCAGCCCCCATGACCCCTGACCCTTGGCCCTGGTCCCTCCATCCCTGGGTGACTGAGCTCACCTGGTGTCGGAGAACTCGAGGTTGGTGACGTTGAGGACCCGCTTGCGGTTGGTGCTGTAGTAATAGTCCACAAACTCCTTCAGCTTCATCTTGCAGTCCTTCTGCTTGGTGACATCCGTCACATCCACATTCCGCTCTGGCCCTGGGGAAGTGGCAGGAGGAGTGTGAGCACCCCAGGAAGGTGGCGTGGTCTCCCACAAGGCTGGGACATGTGGAGTGGCTAGACACGAAGACTCAGCTGCCCTCACACGCTGCAGGGCCTGCAGGTGGCTAGACACAAAGACTCGAGCACTAATGTCCAACTCCAGTGCTGTTCCTCTGGCTTAACTAAGCGCCCTGACTTGCCTGGAGATGCTACGAGGCAGCCAAGTCAGGAACCTCAGCAAGGGTTGACAGGTTAGTAAATAAAAATACAGGATGCCTGGTCAATTTGACTTTCAGATAAACGACAAATGTGTTTTAGTATAAGTATGTCCTGAATAATGTATGGGATATACCTGCACTTTAAAAATTATAAAACTCAAAACCCCTGCATTTCTAGGGCTCCAACTCATAACAGGTTGAACATCCCTAATCCGAAAATCTGAAATCAAAAATGCTCCAAAGTGTGAAACTTTTTGAGCACTGACATGACGCTCAAAGGAAATGCTGGGAGCATTTTGGATTTTGGATTTTCTAACAAGAAATACTCAACTAGTAAGTATAACAAATATTCAAAAATTCAAAAAAATCCAACATTTGAAACCCTTCTGATCCTAAGTATTTCAGATAAAGAATATTCAATCTGTATTTTAAAAATTGATAAACTGATAAATACAGGGAAAAACATTTATCCTGCCTCTTCTGTAGTTGATGAGAAAACGTTCAGGATAACTAGATAACTGAGGAGGAAAAGCTCTTTACAGAAGACTCATGATTAACAGAGGGGGAAGCAAGGGCAGAATTAGCCAACTCGCCCTTTGCAACAGTTCTCAGCAGCTGTTTGGACCACGCGTGAACGGCTGCTGGGATTTCTGTGGACAGAGGAGGATGAATGCCTGGGCCTCGACCCATGTGGGCGTCATTGGAAGTGTGTGGACAGGCGCTGCAGGCCTCATGGACAAAAGCACAGTCCCCCAGAGGGAGTCCTGATGAAAAGCTACGCACAAGTCTAAGCCTCCAACCACAAGTTCACAGGAAACTCCCGGGACAGAGGAACCTGTCAAACAACCCCACAGGGACAACCAAACACTGGATGTGGGAAACTACAGGACCAACAACGCCTTTCTCCAACAAACCAATGGGAGGGGAGGGGTGGAGGCTGTCACCGAAGAACAGGGACATCAGGGACATAAAACCCAAATGCAACATGTGAGTCTTGTTTGGATTCTGATTCAAACACTGAAATGTAAAAAGGCGTTTTTGAGGCAACTGGGGGAAATTGAACTAGGTCTTTGATACTATCAAGGAATCATCATTAATGTCATAGAGTGCAATGACAGAACTGCGATTTTGTTTTTAAATCATCTGTTAGTGCCACGTACTAGAGTGTTTATGGGTGAAACAATATATGCATAGAGATTTGCTTTAATATACTCCAGAGGGGAAAAAAAGTAGGGAAGGCAGAAAATCACAGAAAGCTGGTGTTTTTTGCAGCAGCTACATGGGGCTCACTGTTTATTTCTCTCATTTTGTGTGTGTTTAGAAAACTCCATAATAAAAAATAAGAGAAAAAGAAAGACATAAAAGCAATAAAAGCCTCTAAGAGCCATCTCCTCCGCACTCCATCAGGGACATCTGTGGAGGGGACAGGGCCCGGGCACTTGCCTTTTGGGGGCTTCTTCTCTTCCCCCACCAGCCACTCAGGCATCCCCAACAAACACGCTGAGCCCTGGCTGAGTGGCACCCTTAGTGCTGGCTGCACCCCAACACTGGCATCTCCTGCACCCACAAGTGCCCTGACTAAGCCCGTCACAGCACTGGGAGCTGCCAGGGGACACCAGATGGAATCCAGGAGAGGAAGTGGCCCTGGCACCCTGAGGGCAGGTGGCAGTGTAGACAGGAAGGCCAGGCCTAGGCACGGCAACCAGCAACCAGGCAGGGAAGGGCACCCCACACCTCCAGGGCCTCCTGGCATGACTGTGTCCTATAGCACCTAACGGCAATGGGATTCACAGCTGTCAGGATCACGGGGCCCCCAGGCCAGTCCCTTTGCAGCCAGAGTAACTGAGAGCGGAAGGGGCCTACCAGGATCACACATCATCTCAGCAGGACTTGGGGTCTGATCTAGGAGCACCAGGAACCAGTATGGTGAGCCTTGAGTCTCACCTGCTCCTACCGCACTGGGATGCAGCTGTGATGCCAGAGACAGCAAACACAGGGTGGTGGGAGCGCCCATGGAGACCTTATGGGGACAGCACTTACCCACATAGTTCTCGACATCACTGACATAGAACGTGGGGGCAGGAACGGCCAGACCCAGACCGTCTTTCTTGGGGACCAGGATGGGCTCGGTGAAGCCATGCTCCTCCATGTAGCTGAGTGTGAGCTGGCTGCCTGGGACACGGGCCACCACGTCTTCAGCACTGGGGGGGGTAAGCACAGGTCGGAGGCCATGTCAGGTCCGAGGGCCACCTGTCACAACTCCTGCACCAGCATGGGCCTGGACGGGACCTGGGGGCAGGAAGGCTGAACCCACCTGTGGCCACATGCCTCCAGGGCCAGGGAAAGAGGCCTGGCCCCAGTGCCACACTCAGAGGGCCACTGGTCAGCCACAGAGCAGATGTAGTACTGACTCCAGGACCCCCCACCTGGGGGCAGGGTCACCCAGTCCCACACACGAGTCACAGATGGAGATGTGGCGGTGGTGACGAGAGATGGAGGGATGCAGCTCATCTTTCCAACCACGGCACGGAGGCAGGTGGCCCCATGGCCTGTGCAAGAACGCCTCTCATCACCTGCCCCCAGCCTGGCCTAACACATGAGGACAAGAGTGCTCCTCCCAGCATCCAGGCGTACATAGCAGGTGGGGACAACCCCCTCAGGCTGGGCCACACTGAGGGAGCAACGTCCAGGGAGAGCCACCTCTGGGCAGGACCGAGTGTGAACAGGACTCGAGTGCACTGAGGGTGGCCCTAGGATGAGCCAGCTCCCACCTCCCACCACAGCCACAGGACATAAGCCTGAAATGACATCCTCAGGAATTCATGTCTCTATTTTACAGGTGAAGAAATGCAGGCTCAGAGAGACATCGCCTTCTGGACCCTGGGTTGAGACCCCTCACCAGGACCCCTGGGAGCTGTCTGGTGCATCCACATCAATGGTCCAACCCGGGCAGGCCCCTCACTCACTCACTGTGACTTGGTGACTTTACCTGGAAGAGAATTCATGTCTCTATTTTACAGGTGAAGAAATGCAGGCTCAGAGAGACATCGCCTTCTGGACCCTGGGCTGAGACCCCTCACCAGGACCCCTGGGAGCTGTCTGGTGCATCCACATTAATGGTCCAACCCGGGCAGGCCCCTCACTCACTCACTGTGACTTGGTGACTTTACCTGGAAGGGCACAGCAGCCACCAGAGTCACAGCTCATGAGGACAGAAGCCACCAAGACCATGGAGTCCACCCCTCCAGAAGGGGACCCAGAAGATCCACAATTGGGAAGGCCTTGGACAAAGCCATGTGGAGAGGGCAGGGGTGAAAACCAGGTCCCTTTTTGTCTCCCACTCTGCCTAGCCCTGACTGTCCACACATGCCCACCCAGAGGAAGTTGCAGAGGGACAGGACTGGCAAGGAGGACCCTCACATGCTGCCGTGCCAGCTCCAAGGACCCAGAAGGAGAGTGTCTAGTCCTCACCTGCCCCCTACTGCCACCGCCCAGGCCAGAAGCAGATGAGAGGGGCCCACAGGCAAAGGGGACAAATGACCATCAAGAAGCATCGACCTGTCCCAGCAATATTCCAGAAGAACGGGGTCCCAGAGAGTGTGGTCAGCTTAAGGCCACACAGCTGGACCACCTTCTCAGTCCAAGCCAGTGGCCCCAGGCTTCCTCCCACCCCTTAAAAGGCTGCCTGGGCAGCTGCAGTCAGTGGTGTCCCTGCCCTGCCCCCACGCTGTGTGTTGGGTGGGCTCAGGAGCTGCTGGGCAGATGAAGCAGGTGTGATACACCTGCAGCTCTGTCTACCACTGTGTGCACCGTGGGCTGCAACAGAACCAGGGTGGGCAAGGAGACCATCACAGGGAGGTTCTGCATGTACAGCTGGGACCAGGTGGGCCATGAGAGGGGCAAGGTGATAGACCTGACGGGAGGAAGGGTACAGAGGAGGCAAAGGTGAACGGCTGGGGACTGGTGTGAGCAATGAGGGGCCAGGGCCAATTAGGGAGGAACCCCTGGAAGAAGGGCAGCAGTGGGGGGCAAGGAGCAGATCAAGAGCTGAGCTGGGGACACATTTGGCCTGAGACACAGGTCAGATTCTCCAGCGGAGGTACCACTTGGATAGATGGGTCAGGAGCTCAGAAGAGCCAGAGGCTGGGGAAAGAGGCTGTGGAACTGCTGGGTGGGGGGTGAGAGCAGAGGCCCTGAACCAGCCTCCAAGAAAGGGAGGGACTTCAAGGACAGAGAGCACTGCGGTGTCCAGTTGTGCCGAGTGGCCGGTTAAGATGAGGACTGAAGAGTGTCCGTTGGCCTTGACCTTGCGGTGATAGTGTTGAGGATACACCAGGAGAGACAGGAAGGTGGGGAAGGAGAAAGGATGTGTGGAGGCGACCGTGTGAGAAGCTCGGAAAGAATGGAGACTGTGCAAAGAAAGCTCCGGAAGCCACAGGAGCCCTCAACTACCAGGGCCACAGCTGGAAAGTTGCCCTTGATAAATTCGAATCCCAAGCTCTTGTCTCACTAGTGAGAGTTCCAAATTGACACTAAACCCATGGTTGGAAACCCCAAATTGGATCTGGAACTATGAAACCTACAAGACTCCAGCAAAAGGCAAACACAAAGACATCTTGTAGGGACACCCCAGCAACCCAGGACATACTATCTACTCTGGAAAATGACCCACTGAAGAATCACGCCTCACATAAGGAAGAGAACCACCAAGAGGGAGAGTTGGCAGAAACACCAGCCAAAAAAGTAAAACACGAGATCTGAGGATCATAGAACAAGTGAAAAAGAGACTGTAAGATAAAAATATTAAACATTTTCAAAAGGGTAACAAGAGGATTAGGCAAAGAATAAGGAAGTATGAAAAAAGACCAGGAAACATTGAAAAGAACTTTATGGAAATTCTAAAAATGAAAAAGATGACAATTAAAATTTTTAAATCTCAGTGCATGCATTAAATGATATCTGGCTGGAAAAGACAGTGATTTGAAGAGAGATTTGAAAAGTGATAGGATGCAAAAGAAATGCAATTGAAGGAGAAAATAGAATATTTTTCAGAATTGAGATATGACTCTTCAAAATAAAGGAGCTTTCTGAGTTCTGAGCTGTATAAACAAAAACAAATGCACATCTGGACGCAATATAGTAGTACACTCATGGTACATTTAAGACAAAGAGACAATCCTAAATGTCTTCAGAGGAAAAAACAGATTATTTACCAGAAACAAAACAAAACAAAAAGACAGCAAATAGACTGTCAACAGACATCTCATCAACAAGATACATAAAAACAAAATTTAAAGAACCTTCAAAGAGTGAAAGGAAAATAACTTTTTTTTTTTCCTTTTTGTCTTTTTTCGTGACCAGCAACGGATCGCAACCCTCAGTGTCGCGCCCGTACCGGACCGGGACCGGCAACAGGATTGCAACCCTCGGTGTTGTGCCCACACCTCGCTCAGCCAGCGAGCGGGAACCGGTCTGTATGTGGGATCCGAACCCTCGGCGG